CCGCCGCGCTCCCAAGCGGCACACTCTCCAGTGTGCCACCGGGCAGGCCCTGTTTTCTTTTTCTTTTCTGTCTCTTAGCATCCCTTTCTCTGAGTCTGTCTCTCCCACGTGCTTTCTTCTTTCCTCCTCCTCTCTCATTTTCCCAAGGTCTGCATCTTTCCCCTGTTGTCTCACTACCTCTCCTGTCCATTTCTCATTCCTGCCTCTCTCACCACCCCCACCCGTTTCCCTCATGGACCGTTTCACTCCCTCCCCAAGCGTCCCCATTCCTGCTCTCACTATTGCACTAGTTGTTTCTCTCACATTCTCCCTCCACTCCGGTCTCTCTCCCTGCTCACTGTCTAGATCTGTTCTGGTTTCTGCCTTTGTTGCTCTGTGCCCCTCTGCCTGTTCTCTCCCGAGAGGCTCACCCTTCCTCGTCCCCTTAGGAGGATCCTGTGACCCGCGTCCTTTCCCGCCTTTTACTGGCGTTCAGCACGCATGCGCACGCGGGGTGAGGCGGGCCTCGAGGGGCGGCAGGGCAGGCGTTCCTCTACCTCGCTCCTCGTGATGTCACAGAACGCTGCGCCTTCTGATTGGCCAGCTGGCCCATGGCGTGGTAATGAAAGCTGGGCGAAGGGCACTAAGTCTCAGCAAATAGCCTTGCCATAGGGGAAAGGGAAGGAGGGAGCTGGCCCTGGAGGCGCAGTGACTTGGGGTGGGGGGGACTCAAGTGATGAGTTAGGTCCCATCATCCCAGTTTCCTGAACCGAGGTGATGCTTGTTCAAGGGTAGCCAGGGTTCCAGAACCTTTGTTCTCTGCCACCCAGCGAGGCCTCCCTGTCCCATAGTGCCCCCTCGTGGCAGAGACAGTCAAATGCTGGGCTCCTGCAGCTAAGGAGGCAGCCTAGTCCCACCTTGGGGGATCTCTCCCAGTGGGGGAGAAGGCAGCACATGAGCACAGATAAATGCAGAATTACAGACTGCACGGGGGAAATATCAAGGGAGTCATATGTACAACTTTAATAACAGGAAGACTTGGAGGGAGTTGCNTTCTCACACTCTTGCTTATTTTCTCTCAATTTCTTATCCTCGTCATCTCTGTTTCTTTTTTGTTTTTTCCATTATTTACTTAAGCATTTTATTTTTCATCATCTCTATTTGTCATTCCATTTTTCATGGTCAGTTTCTCTTTTCCTCCGTCTTTCTCTTTTTTCTTTCATTTTCAATTTTTCATCCACATCATCTCTTATGGTCTGTTTTTTTCATGGTCAGTTTCTCTATCTTGTTTACTCTGCATCTCTCATTTTTTCTTTCATTGTTAGTTTCAGTCTCCCATCATTTTTCCCCTGTCTTTTTCTTTCAATTTCTTACCCTCATTACCTCTGTTTCTGACTACGTTTTTCATAACCAGTTTCTCTTTATGTTTTCTCCCACGTTTTTCTGTTTTTTTTCCCCTTTCATTGCCAATTTCTCACCTTCATGATCTTTGTTTCTCACCATTTTTCACAGTCGGTTTCTCCTTTATCTTTTCTCCTATGTCGTTTCCTCATTACCAATTTCACACTCTCATCATCTCCATTTCTCACTGCATCCCCCTCCCCCCAGGGTTCATTTTTCTGTTTTCTTTTTCTTTTCTTTTTTTTTTTTCCTTTTTGTCTTTTTTTTACTGACTGGTGACAGGATCACAACCCTCGGTGTCGCGCCCGCACCGCGCTCAGCCAGTGAGTGGGAACCGGTNTTCTCACACTCTTGCTTATTTTCTCTCAATTTCTTATCCTCGTCATCTCTGTTTCTTTTTTTTTTTTCATTATTTACTTAAGCATTTAATTTTTCATCATCTCTATTTGTCATTCCATTTTTCATGGTCAGTTTCTCTCTTTTCCTCCGTCTTTCTCTTTTTTCTTTCATTTTCAATTTTTCATCCACATCATCTCTTATGGTCCATTTTTTTTCATGGTCAGTTTCTCTATCTTGTTTCCTCTGCATCTCTCATTTTTTCTTTCATTGTTAGTTTCAGTCTCCCATCATTTTTCCCCTGT